CCCCAAGAACCCTCAAATTCCAAATCCCCGAAAAGGCCGGCAACACACTCATATCACCTCTGGTGTTTCGGGTGTCTAGGTATGGGCAGCGCCCCGATTGCTTACTATCAGGCGATACTGCTCGTTTTTTATTTTATAAAAAAAAATGATTAAAGATTTTGCCATTGAATGACACTATTGTAGTACTAGAATTTTGTATAATATATTATTTATTAAGAAAATATTTAGAACTTAAATAAATTTATGAAGAGTATAATGTCATTGATAGATGAATCTAAATTACCACTACAATCGTAAGAAACAGATCCGTATCCGTTAGAATAAAAATTCTCAGGAGTCAAATTCAATTTATTCGCTCCTTCCATTCATACATCCACCTAAAAACTCAAAAACTAAATTAAGACGTGGGCACCTATCTAAACGATGATCTACACAGTCCAGCAGTGATAAATTTATCCTCAAAAGGCTAAAATTACAATAAAAACCCGGAACTTTAATATAAAGACTTGTCTGTCCGTCTGTACGTCTTTGTTTCGCGTATGTGTGCGAAACATCTCGGATTTTTCGTTTCGCATCGGCACTCAGCCTTTTAATTGCATCTTTTGGACTAACAAAGGTGGTAGTCTGGCATAATGGGGATTTTCTTTGAATTTACCGTGATGAGGAGATTTCTACCGCCGTCATGAGTTTATAGGTGTTTTTCTTTATAAAGAAAGTTGAATCGTTTATTACTTACTATATTACTTTTTTTATAAATACGGTCGCCAATTTGTTATCGATAGTTAAATCGCAATAAAAGTATAGAACAATAATAGTAGAATCTTCATTGAAAAGACCTGGAAATTGGGTAATGGCTTGCTCCGATAATATTTGCAAGGAGTCAACTGAAAAGCTTTAGTAGAATACATGAATAAATTTTACTAAAGAAGTAGGTATATGTAGTTATTATTTACAAAATATTAATAATCACTATATTGAAAAAGTAAGTACCTACCTAACTATCATCATTCAATAATATCAATACACACTTCAAAGACTGCATAATAGAATAAAAAAGTTCTAGTCAAGTCTAAGTAGTTAAGGTTCTTGTTTAATGTCTAGGTATTTGTGGTGAACTTTTTACTTATATGACCATGATATTTAGTCTTTTCATGTCATGACCTAAGATTAAAAGGTTAGCAGCCGCTTCCTTGAAAACATTACCTTTATGCCTGATTTTCGTCAAAAAGATAACCCATACAGCAGCATATAAACGCACTTAAGAATTTAGAAAGATGTAAGAATTAAATCCAAGATAGCTGTTTTTCTATTCACTATTGTAGCATTAATTATTTTGTTTTTCGACTGACTTACTTAATTATTTAACGAGGAACTCGACAAGTTTCAAGCCTTGCTAGAGGCTTACATTCCGTAACCCGCGGTTCTCAACTAGTTTCAAGCCATGGCTTGCCTCGTCAAATAATTACGTCAGTAAGCCGAAATATATAATCTTTATTCATTCAATCATTAATTTTGTAAGTATATCACACGTCAGTTATAACATAAATACACTATTGTAGCGGCAAAATAAAGTTACGACTCGTCTTAAAGATATATTTACATCTGCAATGAACTTTTACATACTTCAAAAGATTAATTAATTAAAAATTAGTTCTGCATCTCTGATAAGCTATTGTCGCTAAAAAAGTACTGAAAAAAAAACACGCACAAACATCGTCAAAAAATCTGACATCAACATGCAAGCAAACAAGTACACAACTATTCACCAACGACACAATCGTGTTAAAAATCGCAGCTGTAACACCAGACCTTGCCTCTCATTCCTGTCGTGTCGTGTCGAACTGAAGTCGCCGTCTATCACGTTAAGGCGTGACGAATCGTGAATGGGTCTAACTGTATCCTTGGGAGACTACTAAAACGATTGTGTTAGGATAATGTCAATGTAAACTTTCGTTTGTAAAATAAAAATGGGCTATTGATATCCGTGAGGTGATCTATACTTAAAAGTTCTCTCTGTAAAGTTCAGCAAAAATTGAAAGCAATCTTTGTTGCAAGCAATATTTACAGGCCAATTTAAAATGAAAATATGGCTATTTGAAAAAAAAATGAAATAAGTAACTAAATTTTCCAACAGGAAACATTACCAGAACTGTACTTAAATCAAGACGATTACTTAACTAAAAAGGAAAAGTGTTAAAATTCAAAGTCAACTAAACCTAGACAAATTACCAAAAACAAAAATTCACGTGTACGCCCTTCTTTATCTAACACAACACAAACAAGCAATTACCCCTTGCATAATAAAAAGAAAAACGTACCAACCGAACCATGACTGCAACCATGTTGTTTTTCAAAGTACCAACAAATCTGACGGCACAAAACTTAATTACACACTTTCACGCTCAAAATTAACGGAATGGAAACAAGATGAGATGAATTAGTTAATTAGCAAAGAAAGTGAACTAAATTGTTGAACGAGCTCGTAAAAGCTGAACGGTGGAAACCGGACTTCGAATTTTTAAGGCAAAGTCAATTAGACGATTACAGACACATTTGAAAGTCAAAAAGACTGTGCAGGTAGGGAAGGAGTGTCAATAACTATAGTTTGTATAGGAATGCTCCTATATATGCTGATACATCCACTTATCATTAAGTTATTGAACCTAATAGAGAACAGAGTCTACGAGAAGTAGATGATTCTGTAAACGATGTCAAACTTGGAGCTACTAAAAAGACTAATTTTCTTTATTACCTACTCGCCAAGTCATCAGAAATGGTGTGGCCAATGACGGAATATCTGTTTATAAGCAACTTAATCATTCGGGACTTGAAGATACACAACTTGAAATTAAAATATTTATCCTTTACCAGATTTAAAATATCAAACAACCTTAAGCTCATCGCTCACGACTACTAGACAATGCGTACAAAATAATAAAATTCACTTCCCGAATCGAAAGCCGAGGACAATTAATCGTAAAAGTCAAGAGGAACTTAAAATTTGCAAAGAATAATAAAGAAACATTAGCTTATAATGATGTAAACAAAAGTTACAAAAAACGTCTTGCAGCTCACCCATCGAAAGAAACAGTATCTAAATCGCATAATAAACAATACTATTCAGCGTTTGGTCTAAACTATACGCGAAAGACGGATTATAGATAAAAATTAAAGAGAAATTATTATGTTCTTTTGACTGTTACGCTTAGATATGGAACTAATTTTGATAAAAATTTTTGCAAGGTCAAATAGTAATAGGGTAAAAGTTACGCTGGAAGGTGTTTAGAGATCTTTGGCATGAGTTACGGTATTGGTATTGGCTATTGATATTAAACATAATGCATAGACTATTTCCTTCCTATCATAGTACATTTATGTGGATTCTACAGTGGACGTCATGTCGCCCGACATGATGATGATGCCCTCCTTTACAGAACCTATGTTATAACATAATAATAGTTCGCAATGCAATGTTCCCATGGCAACAAGCTCTTAATTTTTCCCACATCAAATACTCGCTTGCTAATATAACTTTAATATCCCGTCCACAGCTCCTAACTTGAACTGTAATTAAGATCCGTTTAATCACAAAACTTCGTGCGAAAAGCATCTATTGTCAAAAATAACGTGTCGAGGCTGTGCATGGCCAATGGAGGTGGACACAATAGCTCTTAACTAATATTATTTATAATGAAACACTGGTACTGTGTGGATAATTCACACTTCCTTCCACTTTATTTGTTTTGTTCGGTATTTTCTTTTGCACTCTAATGCTGTTCTTTGTGTACTACATCATTGTCATGACGACTGGGCTTCCTCTACATAAAAAGATGTTGATAAGTATGATTGCATGTGTGTGTGTGCTATCATAAGAATTAAGAATCCATAATGTTAAACCAGTTGTAAATAAATCAGCGCAAGAAAACCACGTATTTCTCTTACCTAAAATCCCCGCAAGCAAAAGTGAACCTTAATACTATAAGCGACGGTATGCCGTAATCTCCACATCTGACTGACAGGTTAGGATCGAGATTATAGTTTAAATGGTTCAGATTTATTAGAGAGCACTGGTGCCAGGTCCCTGTCAAATGTAATCCCTTAATCGGCCCTAACGACACTTACCGCAAGAATAGGGGATGTTAAAGTGATGCACGAAGCGCTTCGCATCAAACTTCCTTGTGTGTACTGCTAAGGAGTGGAATTCTTTGCCAGAGTGTGTATTTCCTGAAGGGTATAATAACCTGGGTGTCTTTAAGGCCCGAGTGAATAGGTTGCTTATGGGACGACGTGCTCCATCGTAGACCGCATCATCACTTACGACCAGGCGAGATAGTGGTCAAATGTTGGCCCATCAAATATATAAAAAGGTGACAAATGCATTCTACCCTGCGATCTGCCGTTGCTACAGGACTTAAAAATACCAAGTAATAGCAAGGAATCTTAGCATCGAGTTTTCTTTAGTCAACTTTTCTAGTACAACTTTTCTAATAACACATGCCCATAGGTACACTATCTAGACAAGTTTCTTTTCATTGGTATGTATGACCTGTGACCTGAATATATGCGTTTAAAAGAAGTTTTATCTTATAGTAACCGTTCGTTACTTTCTGTTATACGTATGTATACATTTTTTTTTTTTGAGTGCGGAAAATCATCCAGTGACTTTCTCCCGCCTTGGGTTAGGCGAGAGGGAGTGTCAGACTGTTACTGACTAAAAACCACCCCGTTCCTACTCCTGCTCTTCGAGTCGGAGCCCCGGCAACCCGTTGGGCCTTCCGCGGCTCCGTATCGGGCATCAGCCCTACTGGGCCCCATCTGTGGTGGTCTGATGACTCTTTGAGGCGCGTCACGTTCCGCGCGTTCGAAGAGCCATCGCACAGGTCTAGTTCTGGTCGGGCGGCGAGCTACCCTTGCTCGCCGTCCGCAGACTCGCACTTACGGTGGCCGGAGATCGTCGTGCGATCTCTGACGCCCGGAGTGTCTCCTGCGACGGCTGGGGCGCGAAGAGGTTCGTTCAATTATATGTTTCAATTTTGTAAAGGATCATTCATAGCATCTGTAACGTTACATTTTGTTTATTCGTTATCGGAATGAATCCGAAAATTTTATGCCTCTATATTTTTAACAGACAGACACCAAATTAATACAATCTTTCCATTGTTACAGGATCACTCGAAGCAGCTACTAGAGCACCTGACTGAATCAGAAAAAATATTCCTATTTGGTGCCAACCCTAGCGGTAAGTACGAATTATGATAATTTCCCACAATTACCATTAAAATTATTAATTTAAAACTAGACTGAATATTAGCCTTATCTATCTAGTGCTTTATGTAACCTAAATTTTTCAAGATCATGTATTTTTTATAGAATTATTGACCTTCGTATGTGGGGCATACGTAATTTTGAATTATTTAGTCTAGTCTAGGTATTATCACAAGGTTGTATCTTAAGCATGAGCATACTTAGTAACAAAATACTCCTACAGCTTAGATATTGATAGATGACGAAGGAAAGCATCATTGTGAGCACATTTGAAGTTCCGTAATTAGTGTTTTTATTTCTGATTGATCATCTCTCTCTTCTTAGTTGATTTCCTCACTGTTGAAGATCGTAACTCCCTCTGATTTTGTTCATTAGATGTCGTCACTTATCTCGTTCCGTTGCTTGATGCATTGCAATATTCATGGGTATCTCCAGCTTCTTGGATATTTGGTCAGACCACCGTATAAGACTCCGGCCTCTCGGTCTCTTTCTTTCTATTTACCGGTCACGGATCAATCGTAGCATCATGTGATTCATGACGATCTGAGTACCTAACTACAAAGTGAATTTGGATAAGTTAACGGCACTATTTGCAAACAATATTACTCACACAAGATTCTTTCCCATAGTCAAAACTATCTCAAACTGCCACTAACATGATGAAACCACCTCTGACTAATAAGACTTCGCAGAACCCAACCTTAGTCAGACATCAATAAGAAATGAAAGAAAGAAAGTAATTATGATTCGCATACTAATGTTCAAAGCTAAACATGTTGCTAGTTGATACTGTGAAAGCTAGAACTCCAATAAGGTAAATTAAAGGTGTTGACAAGCCGTGCGAGAATCTGCATTTTCAGAAAGCCTTACACCTCATCGATAGTACTAGATATTTATTATGCATTCATATGCCACTCGATGCATTCACTTCTTGAGTGAGAAAATACAGCCTAGTTAAATATATTTTTGAGCGTGTGTGTTATTGACCTTGTAATGCTAATTGCAAACGAGAAAACCTGGTTTATTAAAGAAAAATACTTCTTGTATATCATCTAATGATGTCTTCTTGTATATCATGCAGCACTACTATTTGGTATAAATGTGTGGTAGTGCTATAATTCGTCACGAGTTGGCTGGCTCGATAGGAGTGATAGCGTGGCCTCACAGCAAACCGACGTGAAATAACGCTTGCGTTGTATTTCGCCGTATGAGTGAGGTTACCAGAGGCCCAATTAGTCTGTGGGTAGGAGATTGGAGAAGGAGAAAGGGCCCCCTTCCCCAATCTCCTCAATCCCTAAAAGGCCGATAACGCACTTGTAACGCCACTTGTGTTCCGGGTACCAATGGGCGATGCTGATTGCTTACCATCAGGTGATCCGTCTGCTCATTTACCGGCTAATCCCATAAAAAAGTTTTTTTATTAGTTCCAAGAAGTAACAATTTATCTATAGCCACACGTAAGATACGCCAATAACTACAAAGTACTATCTACTACCTACATCATCACACGTTCATCTAAAACATTATTCTTTTACAGAAGCACAATTCGAAGTAGCACATCTCAAGCAGCCAAAACGTCGTAAACGCTCACTACTATACGACGACCAGGATCTAGTCGGGCTGAAGAAGCACCTGGACATCAAACTAAGTCCCAGGAACAGTTTCCTGGACCCTCAGTTCCTGTTGATGAGGAGGTGGTCCAATAACACAGAGGTGGTACTGGATCAGCATGCTGATGAAGAAGTGGACTTGTGTTATTATAAGGGAGATAATGCAGCGTTGTATGTTTGTGATGATGTGGTAAGTTATTCATTGTTAACGTTTTATGTAAAGCCAACACATTTAAGTTGAACCCATTTGAAGATATTTTGAAGTACTGAAAGTAACGGTGACGGTCACCTTTGGTCAGTTATGTTATTAATATTTCCCTTTGCCTTGCACACAGTCGGAATAGCAAATTATAATAATACTCAGTACTCGTAAGTGACAATGCGTGTCACGGGGCAGCAAAACGACAATAAGAAAATAATATAAATTCTTTAGACAATTAGTAGTAAAAGCTTTTAACACTTACATCCGTTGTCATCTCCACCATCCGAGACATCTAGGCCAAAGAAATTTTAATAGCTGACAATTTATTCTAGGCACAATCATGTGAAATTTTAATTCAACTTTCGTCTAATTATGTATTCTCTTGTAGAGAGGATTAGTCAGATCCAACGACACTTACTACTTCATACATCCACTGCCAGACAGATTTCACGATGACCACGCTAAAGCACACGTGATCGTGAAAAAACAAATGAATGAAAACAAAGATCAAGACGACTCATGTATAGAAAGAGATAATATAATCGATGACCCACAACCAGCCACCACATGGAAAAAACACAGAAGAAAACGAGAAGCACCAAGCAATGTAAATTATAATTTAGAAGACTTCAAAGTTAATTTAGCACATAGGAATAAAACTATTACAGATTTTATACAAAAACTATCGAATGGTACGCCAAGGCAACGAAGGGCGATACTGCCAGCTGTTTTTGTGGAAACAGCAGTATTTGTAGACAGAGACTTATACAAACACATGACAATAAATTTCCCGAAAGACACAGAAAGGGAATTAGTGAGATTCGTACTAGCTATGATAAATGCAGTACAATTGATCTACCACGATCCTTCTTTGGGTAGACCAGTGAATTTTATATTGAAAAGACTGGAGATTCTACACGAAGACCCAGCTAATCTGAAAAGACCGCATGATATAGATAGGTTTCTTAGTAACTTTTGCACTTGGCAAAGACTAGAGAATCCTCCTGGAGATAATGATCCGTTGCATTGGGATCATGCCCTGATACTGACTGGATTAGACCTGTATGTTGTTAACAAGAATGGTAAAGTTAGCAGTCAAGTTGTGGGTAAGTTGAAATTATACATTTTTTAAATTTAGATACGCACAAATACAGACTCAAAGCCATTGAAATCAAAAAAATATTTCCCATTTTCCCCTGGAAAATCTCCTTGTACAGACCTGACAACAAGATTAAAAGGACAGTCATTTTGTTTTACCAACATTTAACTTGGCAAAATTAAAACCATCAACAAAATCGCCTATTATGTGAACAATAATAACATTATAAGTAGATTATAACAGCTCAATAGAACGCCTATAAGTTTTGCTATTACAATTCGTGAGGCTTTCATCAAGTGACGCTCCACATCAAATTGATGTGGCAACTTAATAGACTGGAGACCTATTACAGTCATTACATGGTTAGCCAGTATTATTGTAATATCTAATGCTTTTGTCACGATATGCACTGTTAGAAATGAATTTCCTTCATAAATAAGTGTTTAAGAACCGTTTTCTAAAGTAGTTATTTTAGATAAATGTATAAGATATAGTTATTACGTTTTTTGTCTATTTGTTTCTGTAATATTGTCATCATCTAAAACGGATTTCCTGTGTTCCAACTTCAGGTCAACCGGGATAATATTAGACACATAACATCACGCCTTTAACCCCGAAGGGGTAAGCAGAGGTGTATATTATGCCACTGTACAATGTAATACCCACTTTTCACTATTTATGTTATGAGTCCCATGTAATAGGGGGTGAGCCTATTGCCATATATATACCGGGCACGATTCCAGACTCCGTGCTACTACTGAGAATTTATAAAACTCAGTAGTACCTACTTTGCCCGACCCGGGAATCGAACCCGAGACCCCTTGCCCGGCAGTCGTACTTGCGACCACTCGGCCAATGAGGCAGTCATAATATTAGACATTTGATTTAAAATAATATTCTTTTTAAGAGATACTACAGCTCGATACTGTTATCATTTTTATCCCTGGACAATTAATTTTGGGAACAATTTTCCTAGAGAAGATTCCAACATTTTGACCTATTTTGCAGGATTGGCTCCAGTGGCTGGAATGTGCACTGTCACTAGCAGTTGTACCGTCAACGAAGGACGACATTTTGAAAGTGTCTACGTTGTCGCACACGAAATTGGACACAAGTAAGTTTCCCGCCTTCTTCTCTTATAAAGTTATAACACACTTATCTATTTCAGCATTTACATGAATGTGAATGGCTTTGTGCAGACGTATAGAAAAACTATACAAAACAAGGATACCTTCTACGATGGTGAAGTAATTTATTTTGATTTCTCGGTGCTCATTTCATACAGCTGACCTAAATAATACAGGTTTAATTCTGTCCTTTTTTAAGTTTTCTACCTTCCCTTTTAATTTTCTAAGGTTCATCATACATAGGTACACACATCAACAGCCTATAAATGCCTACTGCTGAGCAAAGCCTTCTCTCACACGAAGAAGGTTTGAGCATTAATCACCACGCTTGCTCAATTGGGGTTGGCGATTTCAAATTTATAATTAGGAATTATAAGGTCAGGTTCCCTCACGATGTTTTTTTCCTTCACCGTTTATCAGTGGTGTCTAAATAAGAGTGTCTAGTTTAGAAAGTACATACTTATAACTCGGAAAAAGTCACAGTATTTGCGAGAAATGCGAGAAACATGAAAAGTGCGGGAAGTGTATCTTAAACCCCAAGGCCACCACGACACTCATAAATCATGAAAGTTAATCAAAAATCATTTATTAGGACCAATTCTCTAACCCACTACTAATCTACGAGAGATGAATAATATTACGATCTAAGTTTAAATTTTGGTATAAAATTAGACCCGTCATTGAGTTAACCTTCTCAATGACGAATAGTACACAAAAGTACTTTAGCAGATGTTCCCATGCAGTTAGAACAGAAGTGTTTTCCATTAGCAAAAGTCGACAGACAGTCTGCTAAAATAATTACCACAAACAAAGATGTTCTAAACGTAACACGATGTAGAATGCTTAACACTGAATAGGTATTTATCCTGTCGCAAATCGTGTTAAACTTAGATGAAAGAAAACTAAATTTAGTCTTTAATTACAGCTAGTAAATACTTTGTTTCATAACAATTTGAATGTCCAAAACATTGGAATCTATTGTTCATAAACTATTTAGGTTCTCGAGTTTCTAATACTTCTGTAATCATTGCGGTTTCTAAGATTTTTTAGTTGATAACTGTGCAATAGAACGGCGTTTTCATTAAAGTTAGGTTAAAGAAAAAAATATTGTCTATTAAGAAACTACGACCGATTTATACTAGCTAGATTCCCTAACTGTAAGGAAGCAATAAAGAGCTATATTGTTTAATTGAGTATCGAAAAGTAGAAACGGGTAAAAAAAGAAGAAAGAATATAAATATTACCATGAAGCGAAATGTTATAATGCTGGAAAAATACTTATCTATGCCATAGTATAATAAAGAACACAGTAGGTTATCTAAGGCCGCCCGCCGAGTTATTAGCCTACTCTTGCGTTGATCCCCAGGGTTGTCACTTTTACTTTTAGTTAATATTTTCGAACAAGCAGCACTTGATCTAAATTTATGAATTGAAAAGCATATTATGATTGAATATTTTATCAATTTATAAATTTAGTAAAAATAAAAAGCTTATAAAAAGATTATTAACTTCTTAAAATAAACTTTAGCTCTATACATAGTATTCAGAAAGTAGGTAAATTTTGGAATACATTTATATGGAAAAATGCGACACGGCCACGCTCTTAACAAATCAGATAAACTGTGAAATAAACAATACAATACCACATTTTCTTATAATATTTAAGTATAGTAGGTAATTACATTTCTGGTTGAGTAGGAACTATGAAGAATGATAAGAGTAAGAATAAGTAAGTAGGTATCTCATCATCAAGTACCTACAAATTATATTATGCTAGAAAAAGTGACTAGCTTACCTTTCCTGTTCAATAGGTAATCTGAACAGAGACAGTTCTGGAATCGATTAATTATTAAGACACCCAAACACACAGCAATACGTTCTTCTACGGTTATCAGACATTTTTTATTTCATTTAACAGTGCCGAAAAGTGATGCGCGCGCGAACCTCGTGCAGTGTTAGCCCTGCCTGGCGCACTGAGAAACGGGTCGAGATTTTGTTAAAGTGTGCGTTCGTCGACGCATAGATACTATGGCGCACACATATAAGCCGCGCGCGGAGCATTTGTATGAAGATAACCTACTCTGTTCTTTATACTATGTCTATGCTATTAGCCTAACGGTTAAACCGTGAAAATAATATTTAAGTTTCGATTAAGTAATCTGATCTTTGATCGTATAGTTTGTCTTCGTTTGGTATTGAAAAGCTAGAAGATATGTCAACCTCTGCAATAGGCATTCAGTAGTGCCAATTAATTCAGGCGAGTTTAGTATTACGTCATCACATGATGTAAATGTATAAAAGTAACTTTCTTATTTATACTTGTCTTTGTCATCGTTCTTCTGCATATCGTTTTCGCAAAATAGTTCAACTATCAAACTTTATTATCAAATATTATTTCATCATTTTTCTTGGTTTTCTTCAGTTTACAAATAAACACAAACTTTGTATTTATCTACAGTCTTGGTATGCGTCACGATGGACCGCTGGCCGACAACGGCTGTGACCCGAGCGCGTACATCATGAGCCCTACGCTTGGTAGTGGCAAGATCACCTGGTCGCAATGCAGCAAGAACTATCTTCAGAAGTTTTTAGAGTAAGTAAATAAGAAAATACCTAGCAATTTAAATTGTCCGTTAAATACTGAATGTAATAAAATTCTGGTTCTTGCAGCACAGTACAATCGCGATGTCTCCTAGATCACGGAAACTCAGCCGGCCAGTTGGATCACAGCGCTGAAGGAATTCTACCTGGGGAACGATTTGACGCCGACCAACAATGTAAGTACCTACCGTATGCCTTGACGAAATTTAAGAGTATGAAAAGGAAAAAAGTAAGACCACCCTTACTTACCAATAATGTGTTTAGTATCATACACAGTGACAAAACTATTTTGAAATCAATTTGAACACCATGTGGACTGGTAAAAGATTCACCATTAAAGCAAGAATTTACAATTTCAGGTATGCTAAAGTATGGACGAGGCAGCAGACATTCGGGAGCTCAAAGCCTGGAAGATATTTGCAGGGACCTTCACTGTCAACGTGAGAGGTATACCTGGACTTCCCATCCAGCTCTAGAAGGAACGCGGTGTGGCGAGGACATGGTAAGTAACAAAATGTATTGAAAAACGATAAAAACTAATCTGATCTCCAATAATACTACCATTCGGCAGTCGCCAAAGAAATCACAGAGAGACTTAGATTTATTTATTTAGAAGCCTATTTCGGAAAATCGAATTAAACATACCTACATATGATCCAGATTTCCCAGACAAAAAGTGTAATATCTTAGGCACATGCTTCCCAATAATCTTTCCAAAAATGTCTTGATTTCTACTTTCTAACCACTATATTCAACAGTACTGCAGAGGAGGGGAATGCGTGGAACGTGAAGGGTCTACAGTAGTCCGAGGAGCTTGGGGACGCTGGTCTGGCTGGTCGGAGTGTGCGTCAGCCTGCCTCGTGGATGACACTCATGCACCCGCTGCTGCAGGAGTCGCTGTTGCTACTCGACGATGCAATAGAGCAAGGTATGCAACTGAACATGACAAGTCATCAGACCTTTTTTTGAGGATGTTTAGAATATTTTCTGATTATGAAAGGTTAGTGGAATATGCACTAAAAAACACGAAGCTATACCTGATAGCTTGTCGCGGAGAACCTAACGGGTTACCGGGGCTCCGGCTCGAAACGCAGAAGAAGGAACGGGGTGGTTTTTAGTCAGTAAGTCTGACACTCCCTCCCGCCTCACCCAGGCGGGAACAGTCAATAGATGATTTTCCCCCCTTAAAAAAAGTACCTGATAACATTTTTATAAAACCTTAATACTTTTTGGTATATGCTATATTTGTCACATTAAATAACCAAATCAATGAATTCCCGTTACAGACATGAAAATGGAAAGAATCACTGCGTTGGACACGACAAGAAGTACCAATCGTGTCATGCTCAGCAGGTAACACCTTCATGCCTTTATCTTAAAGCCAGAAAAGAGAAAGAAAAAGAAGAAGAAGACACTAATGGAATATTCTCTATTACAGTGCAGTAATGTACCGAGAATGACAGTGCGGGAGTTCGCCGATCAAATCTGTCTGAGGGCCCGTGATGTGGATCCGGACCTCATTGGAACTGGACTGCAGAGAATCGACTCTGATGGTAAGGTCTTGTAAAAGCATTGAGTAAGTAAAAATCTCAGGTAGTAGGCATAACCTTTTGATTCTGTTACAGATGTGAGCAGTGCATGTGCTGTTTGGTGTGACACTCGTGGCGGGGGCTATAAGTCCCGCGGTTGGAGTCTACCCGATGGTACAGCCTGCTCTAACGTCTCACCTATGTTTTGCATCAGTGGTATTTGTCAAGTAAGTTAAGGATATTATTACTTTTGTATTACTACAGATCACTCTGAACTCCATCATCAACTACATAATGTAATTTAGTGATCCGTAATCATCTATTTTCCTTTTAGAAATTCACATGCTCATCGAACCCGGACACAGAATTTTCGTTGAAGCCCAGTGACTGCGAATGGGAAGCATTGAGAACTGCCACGCCACCAACGACATCGTAAGTTGCATCATTTTTCCTAAGCAACTTTCAAAAATCTACAAATCTTTATAGAATCTAGATCTTGGTCCCGTAGATCCACGGATTGATAAGTCCTTAGATGGCCACAGCATTCTTTTCACTTTCAGTAACCTATTTAACTGCAATCTTCAAACCACTACCTGACAAACCAGGGTTTACTGCAAAATCTTTCTTAAAATGGAAACCTTTTCTCAGCAATAGGGTAGATGCCTAATTTTTATTTTAATGTCCGTCTGGTAGATTATTTTAAATCATTAGACATGTATTTTTTATTTTCTTACAGAAACGAATAATTTCGACGACATATTGATTTCATATGTCGCATGACGTTATTTCTATGTACATTTTATAGTAGAAATGACGTTTTAGCCCCCACTCCTAAACTTTAATTCGTTTTATCTAAGTATTGTTTTATTATACGACAAAATAAAAATACGTGTCTAATATTTTTTAATTACCTAACTTACGGACTAATTAGATTTTTAATTTTCATATCCTGTCATCATCCCAATTAACATATTTTGCATGATGATGACCATGACCATCTACTTTTGCAATTCAATAACCACATAAATATAATCTTCAACACCAGCTAAAATGACCAACAACTTTCCAGGACCAAGACATCAGGCACATGGCGTCGTGCAGTAGGAGGACAGTGGCGTCCAGCCTCAGGCTGCCACTACCACTGCATCTCACCAGGTGCTGGCGTCAGGCTCGTCACTACCACCACCAGGGACCGACCTTTGACCAGCATACAGTTATGCTCTCCTGATAGTAGACCTGATTCTGTGAGTATTTCGATTTCACTGACCAAGGGATTTATTTTCAAGTAAATATAGGCTTTAAACAATTCGAGTTGGGCTCGCTGCCATTGCAGCGGTAAGTCCCCTCTTTGAGGAGTGGCTTGAGAGACGCTACGGCGTCCTCACCTACCGCCTGACGCAGGTCCTCACCGGACATGGAAGTTTCGGGAGGTACCTGTGTCTGATGGGGCGGGAGGAAACGCCCGGGTGTCATCACTGCGAGGACCACCCTGAGGACACGGTGGAACACACTGTTGCGGAATGCCCTGCGTGGGCTGAGCACCGCCGTGCCCTCAGGGAAGTGATCGGCGATGGAGACCTCTCGCGTCCAGGCCTAGTTCAGGCCATGATGCGGAGCGAGGGGGACTGGGATGCCGTCTCCTCCTTTTGCGAAGCAGTCATGCTGGCTAAGGAGGAGGCGGGACGCGTGAGGCAGCGAAGCGCTGCCTCCTCGCAACCCAGCCATCGCGAAGGACACACCGGGCGTCGGGGATCGCGGGACGATCTCCGGCCACCGTAAGCGCGGGCCTGCGGACGGCGAGCATGGGTGGCTCCCTGTCCGACCAGAAACAGACCCGAGCGTACGGCGCGTCGCGTTCCGCGCGCGCCTCAAAGAGCCATCAGACCACCACAGATGGGGCCCAATAGGGCCGATGCCGATTCGGAGTCGCGGAGAACCTAACGGGTAACCGGGGCTCCGGCTCGACGTGCAGGAGAAGGAACGGGGTGGTTTTTAGTCAGTAAGAGTCTGACACTCCCTTCCGCCTCACCCAGGCGGGAGCAGTCATTCGATGATTTTCCCCCCTTAAAAAAAAAAAAAAAAAACAATTCGAGTAACGAAAAATTTTTCATTTGCAAATTGAAAATATATTCTAAGCAGAAAGTCATTCGAGATGTGGTAGCTTTCAGACTAGGTTAAAGGAATGAAATCTTTAAAAATGAACTTTTCGTCAATTTAAACTTAGCATATTATCTTTGATCCTTTCGCTGTTGCGCCATAATAACTAACAACTTCATTTTCTGCAGGGATGCACCCAAAGAAAATCACCCTACCAATACGCAACTATGGTATGTACCAAGTACAAGGACAGAGTGAGGAGGCTGTCCGGATTGGGCATGCAAATATCACCAGCTTTGGGTAAGTATAATAAAACCTTCGGTATGACACCCAAAATTAGAATAGAATATTATATTCTTCGGCCGTAAGACCTAAGGCGAGCGTTTACATTTTGTATGAATTGCACGTTTGTGGACACCGACCTGGGGGCTTACTCTTGAATCCAATTCCGTTCGATCGACATTGGTATTGTGAAATTTCGCACTCCTGGGTTGCAATACTCCGTATTGCGTGGATATTGAATGAACTAAATAGTATTGAGTTTGGCTTTATATTCCGAACTCTAAATGCTATTTCAACAGCTAGGAAAGGGGTTGTATAGTTTTGAGATTTGATAATTATTGAGATTTTATTGGATTGAAATTGTATTGGCATTGAGATTGGTTTCAAGAGTAAGCACCCTTATTATTTCTGTCGCAGTCTAAGAGAAAAATAAAATTACAATGTTTAATAGGCAATTATTTGGAATGAGTAATCCATTTCTTACCTATTACCTAATGCTGCAGAGGATCCGGACCGTCCGTGTCGCATAGCGTGCCAGGACGAGCGTGTCTCCCATCGGTTCTACCTAGTCAATGGACATGAGGGATGGTTCCCGCTAGGAACGTCGTGTGGGAAAAGAAACGCTTCGTACTGTGTTAGCGGAAAGTGTTTGGTAAGAACATTAGAATGTACAACATACAATACTTCTTATAACTTACCTGATTTGCTGTAGACATGAATAAGTAAAGGTATAAAGGTGTAACAACACGATATACACAACGTATGAGCAATTAATCTAACAATCTCCAATATAACCTCAAGGTACAATACAGTCGTTATATTGCTCGAAGGAGTAAGCAAGGCGAAGGTATTAAATAACCCTACTTACTGTCATGTCTGTCTGTCATTATTGACTGTCATTACTACATAGTGACATGCTGAACTGATGCCCTTTTGTATGCAAACTTGACTCTTAATAAATGTCTTTTTCAGTTATTTTTTAATTCTTAATTTTTGCCAATTATATTTCATTGGTCATGTAAAACGAAGCGAGTCAATCATGCTAATACAAAATGTTGGTCCAGGAATTCGGTCCAGACAACACTCCAGTGTCGGAGATGGTGTTCACGCTGCCCCTGCTCGGCCGTGGCGCCAACGCCAGCGTCTCCTGGCGCACCTCGCGCTCCACCGGACCCCCGCACTCCCCGCGCTCCGGGCGACACCGCCGCAGTCTGCGCCCGCAGCGGGGCACTGTCAAGGCTAGCCTCGACCAGACTCACCTCGATGACATTATTGCTAGACTGAATTTGACTCGTAAGTAGACCACGAATTTCATATTTATGGGGTACCGGAAAAAGTAAGCCGAAGTAACCCTAATGGTAAATAATTAGCGCCACTCGTGGTCACACGGGAAGCCAAAGGAGTTATAAGTTCATTGCTGGCCTTTTTTTGTCGATTAGGGGATTGAAGATAAGGGAAGATTTCTTAAGAGGAATTGGGTATGTGGTAATCGCACTCACGCGGCGAAAGATAACGTAAGCAATACTCGACCCCAGTTTTTTGTAAGACAGACGTATCACTTTGATCGACACGACCTAATCATAGATTAAAAATACCTATGGCAGCATATTGTAAGGCTAAACATTTTGATCCAGAAATCTTATAACTTATTCATATTCACAATTGTACAATAATTTGTTATAATATTATACTTATTCACAATTGTATAATAATTGCCAAATAATATTAAGGAATGTCAGTGGATTGCCATGTTCAAAAATAGGTTAAGAAAATATGTATCTGAAAATTGTATAATAATTGCCAAATAATATTAAGGAATGTCAGTGGATTGCCATGTTCAAAAATAGGTTAAGAAAATATGTATCTGAAAATATTTATTAATACCGTTTGGTCATAACTCTGTATACATAGCTATAAATATTCATTTAAGCTCATTGTAAGTGAACCATGTTCTTTATGAGTGAATAAACAATAATTAAACTTATTCTCTAATATTATTTTGCAGACAACCTGAACGACCACATAACCTACTTCGACACAATACCGGAGCACATCGAGCTGGACTTCAACAACCCGATACACATCGCGCCAGAAGACACACTGCTTAGGAAAAAACCAAGGCCAACGTGGGACTGAACTTAAAAGAACTTCTTATAAGACCAATTTAGAGCCTATACATAATAAATATCGCATCTTATACGAGAATTGTGAAACCAGACTGTAACCTATTGAAGATCTATCGCATGATTGCCCATACTACAAATAAATTACAATAAAATACGAGCGATGGCGCCTTTTTAATACTACAATGGCGCCTTTAAAACTAAAATGGCGCATTTAAAACTAAAATGGCGCCTTTAAAACTAAAATGGCGCCTACAAAACTAAAATGGCCCTTTAAAACTAAAATGGCGCCTTTAAAACTAAAACAGCGCCTTTAAAACTACAAAAGCGCCTTTAAAACTACAATGGCGTCTTTAAATGTAACAATGGCGCCTTTAAAACTAAAATGGCGCCTTTAAATGTTACAATGGCGCCTTTAAAACTAAAATGGCGCCTTTAAACCTAAAATGGCGCCTTTAAAACTAAAATGGCGCCTTTAAAACTTAAATGGCGACTTTGAACCTACAATGGCGCCTTTAAAACTAAAATGGCGCCTTTAAAACTACAATGGCGCCTTTAAATGCTACCATGGCGCGTTTTAAACTAAAATGGCGCCTTTTTGAGAAGAATTACATTATATGACAATACCAGAGTGGAAATGCCAAGACTAAACTAGCCTTATACTGACACATATTTGTGTTTCTATAATGTTTGTTCTACATATATAAAATTATTATTAATGTTTTGTGTACATTATTGTCTGTTGTATAGACTTTTTAAAAGAACAACTTTTTCAAGAAAGACCTGAATTAAGCCAAATAAAATAAAGAAACTTGAAGTTTTCTTATCGAAGGCATTATTTTCCAGTACTATAAAAGAACAAAATTTGTACAAATATACCTCTCTATGAATTTTGTTCCTATGGTGCAATTTTAGGACTAAGATTATGAAACCGGCGTAAACGACAAACAATTAAAAATGCACCTTATCTACACAATTTTAAAGTTGAAATTCTTATGAAATATAATGCAAAGGAAACGTAGGAAGATATGATATGTTGGAATTTCAACTATAACGCTATAACATAAGGTGTATTTTTATTTGTACAAAGCTGTTGTTAAATTGTTAAAACAAATTATAGTATTAAGCATATTTTTGTAAATACTTTGTCTACAATTAATTATTGTGATGAAATTAGTAATTTATTTATACCTTATAGACTTTTATACCATTGTTATTAAGTAGGTTTTTAAGTGAATAATAAAAAGATATTTTATACAATTTTGTACAATTTTATTTTAAAGGCACTCATCATTTGTAGCAGAGTTATTGTTTGTTGTATTTAAACATACATGAATACATACAATATTTCATATTATGTACATCAGTATCAGTTGGAGCCGAAACACATAACCGCATTGCGTAGCCGCAACGGTAAAATCGGCAGTTTGCGTTGCGGCGTTACGGCGTCGTGAAAAAGAGCGTTTTGTTGTCGTTCGGTAGGGTAACCAGTTCATCGTGATCTTTTATTGTGGATAGACGTGTCTCTGCCATGGACCATCGTGAAAAACTTATTGCTTATATTAAGAAGACATAACTCTGGTATGACGCAACGCGGTTATGTGTTGTGGCCCTTAGGGCCCTCGCCCACGGTGACTTTTTGAATCGCGACAATATCGCTACTAACTTGTGTTACTTTTGTATGCACTTCGTGACTGTATCGATGCGGACGCGCGACAGTATTACAAATTCTCCATGAGCGAGGGCCCTTAGTCATCATCATCATCATCATCATCATCATCATCATCATCATCATTATCAACAGCCGAAAGACGTCCACGTACTGGACAAAGGACAAAGGTCCTTAGTTCTCCACGTCGAACAACAACTCGCCATCTGCATCCACTGACTCCCCGCAACTCTGGCGATGTCGTCGGGGCCCTTAGGGCCCTTATTATACAATAATTATATTCAATTGGGTACTGGCCAACTAGTCAAATTCAATACATTTTAGAATTTTGTACGATATTGTGTATTGTGAAAAGTGGGTGTTACATTGTACAGTGGTATAATGTGCACCTCTGGCTACCCCTTCGGGGATAAAAGGCGTGATGTTATGTTATGTTATTGTGTATTGTGTATTCGGAAAAAATCCTACAATTAAGTTAGTCATAAAATCAATTACCTAATGAAAGTGTGATAATTTTTTTAATATGTTGTTATATTGAACAGTCGAAATAATTTATTTTTGATTAAGAAAAGTACCCAATTACCGTTGTGCTTATTGAAGTAGGTTTACTACTTAGTTTATTTAATTTTTATTTAGGAACACGATTATAAATTTTCTGAGGAATATACGCCTCTTATTGCTAATAGAGATAAGTAGGATACATCAGATATACATGGGTGTAATATAATATGAAAAAGAATAAGTTAAAAACAGTTAGGTACTAGGATATTTTCATCCATTAGTAAATCTTGGTATTGGCGTTCTTCAAGGCGTGTAGTAGTCTAGCTGGGTCAGTTAAGAACCACTGCCATAGTTTCCGAAGATTCTGCTTGTCACCGTTCTGGAAAAATTACAGTAGAGTGTTAATAAAGATACATATTAGAGAATCAATGCAGCTGTTTCCCTTATTTTATTTAGCTATTTTCATTTTATATTTTATTTTTAGTCATAGAAGCTCATGTCCGCAGCATTCCGCGACCGACGCGGCGACTATCGAGCTGCTACAAACACGTACTAGCAGCGCGACAGTCGCCGCGTCATCTAGTCGAGTTCCTCGTCAAATAATTACGTTAATAAGCCGAAAAACATAATAATTAGTAATGAAACATACCTTAACACTAGTGAACATATTGCTAGCATCCAGCACTCTCTTGTCGACGAGTTCCATGTCGTGCCTCAGTGCGTGCGCTAGGGTACTGAGGCCGCGGGCCGCGCCGCCCGGCTGGCGGGTGCGGCCCGACCATACTGCAGCATGGAGAGATGCGGTCGATTCGTTGCTGAAATAAGTATAAATAATAAATCTAATACTTATATAAAATTCTCGTGTTTTCATTGCCATACTCCTCCGAAACGGCTTGACCGATTTTGATGAAATTTTTTGTGCTTATCCGGTATCTATGAAAATCGGCCAACATCTATTTTTTATCGCCTTAATGTTAGGGGTAGTCTAAACCTACATTGCTTTTTTATTTTTTAGACAAAATTTTTAATAAGTATCTCTTTTTTTATGAAACAACATACGAAAATACATACAATCCTCAATTTTCACCCTTCTATGATCAACCCTTATTTTTTAGGTACTGAATAAATTCTGACGACATTCGTTACCGTTCAATTGATAAAGACTAATTCAAAAACTTAAATTCTGCCAGAAGTCATTATTCTACGCGGACGAAGTCGCGGGCAACAGCTAGTTAATATGTATAATAATACATTATGGACAGAAATAAGATACTCTTAATCGTTTATAAATCACTCTCTAGCCAGATTAAATAAATAAGACAATCGTGAAATGAAATACACAATAAAATATTTTGTCTCACCACTTCGCCAAGACAACATCTCCGTAATAATATGGAGTGATATAATCAATTTGAATAATAACTTAATGACGATATATAATAATAAATTATTTCCCGCCATATTGTTACGGCTATAAAGAGATGATTATAAAGTCAAATTTTAATATTTTGTAACTGAACTAGAGATCATTATAGTAATAAGAACACGTAACAATACGTTATCAGACTAGAGTTATAAAACTTATTACGACTTCCTTAGCTTTTAAATACCTTTTACATTTAATCAGAGTAAAAGATATGAAAATATTCTTACATAGCCACCGCCGCATTCTCTTTCTTTCTGTACCCATCTTCGACATTATCCTTCAACTCTTTGACCTGTTGCAGCATCTCATTGTACAGCTTCACTAGTACCCCGGCGTCACCCGCCTGCGGACCGACAATGTGCAGCAATGCTTGCAGTAATATATCTGAAGACTGAAGTCTGAGCTCGCAGGATTCTTGCTCTGAACATATCTCGTTCATTGAATTCTGGAAGAAGAGGTGATACTCAATTTTAGATTTTACGGCAATGTGATAGGTTTGAAATTTAACTTTTAAAGGGGACAGTTTTAACATTATGAAAAAACCGACTTCAAAAAACCAAAAACTAATAACAAACAAAAAGTCTAAACTAAAAAGCAAAAAATAACTATCATTAGTACTCATAGGTTACCCACCCACTGAGGTTAGAAGTCGGCGCTATAAGTTCTATACAAAATTATTCATTAAAACCTTGATAGATACCTAATTTAGAATTTTGTGGCCATTTAGTTATATCATTATAATATGAGCTTATGGCAAAGACTTTTAACCTCAGTGGGTGGGTAACCTATGATTACTTATGATAGTTATTTTTTTCTTTTTAGTTTAGACTTTTTGTTTGTTATTAGTTTTTGATTTTTTGTAGTCTGTTTTTTAAACGCAGTTTTTATTTTATTATTTTATCATTTTCAGTGTAAAGCTACATAAATCCGTTTTGTCATTTATAATCTGCATAGGTGTAAAGTCCTCATCAATACAAATTAATCAAGCCCAAACACAAGGTAGTTACTCTATACCGTTGAGAAGTTCTCTCAAGTGTCTGTCTGTCCTGTCTGTCTGTTGGCTCCATCATCAGGTCGACTTCAGACCCTTATCAAATTGTAGTGTTTAAAAATCCTAATTGAAAAACATAATAATAAACGCATTACTCGCCCCTACAATTTTCGAAAGTTCCCCTCGGTTTCCCTAGGATCCCATCATCAGATCCTGACCTCATAGAAATGAGACCACCTCGGGAGTATACCCTTTCAAACAAAACAAGAATTTTGGAAATTGTTTTACAAATGGCGTAGTAGGTACCGCGCGAATAAACAAAAGAAAAAAAACAATCAGCCGAACATAGTACCTCCTCCTTTTTTGAAGTCGGTAAAAATAGTAACTATGTATTAGCTGTTGTTGTAAGTTTCTCCATCTTTAGGTGGGGATCTCCCTCTTTAGTGGGTAATTCCAAGACCATAGTCACAGACAGTGGAGGAACACCGCGGTGGTTTTAGCCGGTAAACGTCCGGCATGTCTACTTTTTAAACTGTCAAGCACCAAGCGGTCACCGGTGACCGCGACCTATTGTAATCGATTGTAATAAAAATATAATAATTGTACTCGACGAGTTAAGAAGGTGAATTAATAAATAGTGTTACTTTCTTCCTTTATTTACTTACAATACTAAGACTAACTACAAAACTTTTTGTAAGGTATTTTGAACAATATACAACCAAGATATTATTTGAATGATCATTACACTGCATTACACGTAAAGCAATTAAAAAGAACGCAATAAAATCCAATAGACTCACAATCCGGCTCGCAACAGCGCTGCTATCAGCCTCGACGTAGTGCATGAGTTGCGCGGCGAGGTGCAGCGTGTCCTCGAGGGCGCGCAGCTCGCGGCGCAGCGCGCTGTACACCACGCGGTCGAGGCGCGCCGCGCGGCCTGTCGTGTCCACGAGGTGGGACAGGTCGGCGTGGATTTGTCTGGCGATAAAAACATAAACATAACATAACATCACGCCTTTTATCCCCGAAGAGGTAGGCAGAGGTGCACATTACGGCACTTAATGCCGCTGTACAATATCTTATTTAGTATTATCAGTGCGAGAAAACACATCATAACATAACTACATCACGCCTTTCATCTACACCCATGCGGGGGAGGCATGTGGAGGGAGGTTGGAGGTAGTAGGAATATACATATTACGGCACTTAATGCCACTGTACAATTTAACACCCACTTTTCACTATTTATGTTATGAGTCCCATATACCGGGCACAATTCCAGACTCCGTGCTGCGGTTTTTTAAAAACACCCATTAATACTTTGCTCGACCCGGGAATCGATACCGAGACCCCTTGCCCCGCAGTCGCACTAGCGACCACTCGACCAACGAGGTAGTCCACGCATTGTGTGTTGTCAGTTATTATTTTATTGATTTTAGAGTTTGTAGTATTGGCTCGTACATACAACACCATTGTTGTATGTTCATATGTATGTGTGTAAGAAGTCGTAATGAGGTAGTAGTTAAACTTTGTCATTACTGAAAAATAGTATATTTCTTGTGAGTAATCTGAATGTTACATACGTCATTATTGTTTACTGCCTCGTTGGCCGAGTGGTCGCAAGTGCGATTGCCGGACAAGGGGTCAAGGGTTCGACACCCGGATCGGGCAAAGCATTACTGGATTAAAAATTCTTAGTTAGCACGGAGTTTGGTATTATGCGCTACAGCGCAACAAACCATGTAATAAGGGGTGAGCCGCCATGTATATGGCGGCTCACCCCTTATTACATGGTTTATAACATAAATAATGAAGATGGCATTAAGTCTTGTCATGTACAGCCTATCCCTTCGGGAATAAAAGGCGTGATTGGTATGTTGATTGTTTGCCATCAGACACAATGAAAAATAGAACTTCAAAGTTCTTGTTAGAATTCATGCCTTTAATATTTTATTTATTTAAATTAGCTAGTTAATTGTGGCTTTAAGACAGTGTTGAAGTAGTGTACCGGTATACCGGATGGAATGGTAATCCTACACTGTCAAAAATTTATCAGGTTTATTAAATTTGGGAAAATTTTGGGATATAAAAGTGTGGGAGAGCCATGCTTCGGCACGAATGGGCCGGCTCGACCGGAGTGATACCACGGCCTCACAGAAAACCGACGCGACGTGAAGCAACGCTTGCGTTGTGTTTCGTCGTGTGAGTGAGGTTACCGGAGGCCCAATGACCCTCCCCTTCCTTAATCTGCCCAATTTCTGAATCCCCAACGATCCTCAAACTCCTAATCCCCAAAAGGCCGGTAACGCACTTGTAACGCCTCTGATGTTCCAGGTGTCGATGGGCGACGCCGATTGCTTACCATCAGGTGATCCGTCTGCTCGTTTAACGGCTTATGCCATAAAAAAAAATAATTACTTACTGTCTGACAGCTAGGGCGCAGCACGCAGTAGTCTCGACGGCGAGCGTAGTGCGCGACTCTACGAGCTGTTTGACTGCGCTGTGCAGCTGTTGGTACAGGATGGACTCTTCCTGTTCTAGTAACTCCACTGCACTTTGAGCTTCCATTAGACAGGATCTGGGTGGAGAGTAAGAGGTAAAACTAATAAATAATATTGCACAGACATACTACAGTTTAAACAATAGTAATAAAAACAGTGATCGGACAAAGGTGAGCTAATTTAGAACTGGAACCGGAACTTTCCCGAAAAAAATGTTGTAGTAAGGAAGTCTCCACTTTTTGTTTTTGTTCCTTGAAGTTTAGGTCAATTAGCTCACCTTTGTCCGATCACTGCTAATAAGTCACACTTGATGTTTTTACTAGAGGTTTGTAGGAAGTTGCAAACATGTGTTTCATTACAACTGTTTCATGTAAAAATGCTATTAAGTTGCTCCCACACAGCAGTTTGTATCGTTTTATCCAGTGGCGCAGCAAGGGGGAGCAGCCTACCCCCCACCCCGCCCCTTGCTTGCCCCCCGAGACCAAGTATGACCATCAGTTATAGTTCTTTCCACCTATAAAAGATCGTAAATCTGTGGCCGAGAGCATAACCGCCACTAATAAAATAATCTAGGTAACTATAATATCGTACAACAAGTATAAGCAAATTAAAACTTGTCTTAGATTCTGTAATTAATAAGTATTCTTATAACTACATTAATAAGGTACATAATTGCCCTTACGTTATTTGACTAGGATGTACGTCCTTATAGTTCGCCACTAATGCGACTTTAGCTTGCTCTCCAGATAGTTCAGCTTTGGATTCAATGTAAGAGCACATTGCATCAGTCAACCTGCAACAAATTGAAAATTAGTTACACACATTAAAAATGTTAAGTGGATTTTGCTCCTTACATAAAGGGACATAATATGTTGGCAAGCAGATTTGCGGGGTGTAGTCTTGGGGTAAAGATCACGTTGTTTAAAGCATTCTGCCAAACTCTCTACACCTGCAATCTGTGGGTCAGCTACACGCAGCGGGCCATCAACGCTCGCCGTGTACAATATAATAACGCGTTCAGGGTGCTGGTGGGGCTCCCGCGCTGCTGTAGTGCGTCTGCGATGTTTGCGCACGCGCACACTGACGGCTTTCACGCGGTGCTACGGCGCCGCATCGCCTCGCTGATGTTCCGTACGCGTGGGAGCGCCAACACCATCTTGAGCGAGCTCAGCCAAAAACTGGATAGCCCCCTTATGAGACACTGGGTTCAAACTCGAGTGTGCGTGACCGGTGCCTCAAAGGGAGGCAAATACTTAAGTTAATTCTATTGTTAAAATTAAATAATGTTGTTTTTTTCATTTCTTCTTTATATTTGTTGGATGTGATGATATTTTTTACCTAAATTGACATTGATTAAATTGACAATAATAAAATGAATGATTGATAATGCGGTGTTATAATGTAATAAATTAAATTAATAAACATATTGTAATAAATAAATAAATCAAATAAATAAATGTAATAAATAAATTAAATTAATAAATTAATAATGTAATAAATATATTGAATAATAATAAACTGTAAATGTATGGACCCAATATGTCTGAAATAAATTTATTTTATTTTATATTTTATTTTATTATTTTATTTATTTATAAAGACCATTTTATATGGTAGCTAGCCCAATAGTATTCTGCTAGGAGCAAATTACAAGAAATCACTACATAGTATAAAACAGAGTCGCTATGCGCCGTCTGTCTGTCCCTATGTATGCTTAGATCTTTAAAACTACGCGACGGATTTTGATGAGTTTTTTTTTAATAGATAGAGTTGTTGTAATAATGTAAACTTTATAATCTTAAGCATCATCAAATGTTACAAGTATCGACATCTGGTGTGTGCCTGGAAAGTTAATAGTCTGTCACTGTCTTTGCATTGAATGGCGTCGAAATGTGCCTTGTTAAGTTTCCTAAATAAAATTACGTTATAAAAGTGCTCATCATTTATTTAAACCAGCAATCAACCACTTCAGTGATTCTTAAGATAAAGATAAAGATAAAGATAAAGATAAAGATCATTTATTTGCATAAACATGTGTCATTCATACAAAAGCATGCAAGATGTTAATTGTTTAAAATCAGTGTCCAATACATGTTTTGCCCTTAGGGGCGTACAAATTCAATTTATATTAATTACAATTCATATTAAGATGTCAAAAAAGTATTATTAAATATTATTACGGTCTACATTTATTCATACAGTGTCAAAAAGTAGTGTCAGCCAGAAAGTCATTCAAACAATAGTAACACTTTTCTGTTAGTAAGCGTCTCATTTTTATCTTAAACATATTGGTGTTTAAACATTTATAATCCCGTGGAATTTTATTATAAATTATTGGCGCCATACAAAAAACGTTTTTGTGCATAAGAGCAGTCCTAGCGGGTTTCAGGCGAAGTCTGCTGTTATCCCGTCTATTCCGAGGCACAGTGTCAGACAGACGTGGGAAAAGATCAGGATTCGTTTTTACGAAAGTCGCAGTTTCAAGAATATAAAGAGATGGTAGAGTTAGTATTTTATATTTTTTAAAGATACAGCTCTCTGTTGACTTTAGGTTAAACATGGCCCTAAGGCATCTTTTTTGGGACTTGAATGCAATTTCTTTGTCTGTAGAATTACCCCAGAAAATTACACCGTAACGCAACACTGATGCAGCCAATCCATAATACGCTGTCACTAGAGCGTCAGGATTAAGCACTGGTGCAAGTTTGTATAGTGCATACGCAGATGAGTTTAGTCTCTTGCTTAAATTCTCAATGTGATGTTTCCAATTCAATTTCTTGTCAATTATTATACCGAGAAATTTTGTGGATTCAACTTCATTGATTATTGTGTCATTGTAGGCAACATTTACATTTGATTTAGATTGGTCTCGTTGGCTGAAATGGATAATGTTTGTCTTATTCAAATTAATTTTTAAATTGTTTCTATCTAACCAAGTTATTATTGATGTCAAGGAGTTATTAATGTCAGATTCATATGTCAAAATATTTTTACATTCTATGGTCATTGTACTGTCATCGGCAAATAGAGTTATAGGGTAGTCAATAATTTTAGGCAGGTCATTTATATATAAGATAAATAACAATGGCCCTAATACACTGCCCTGTGGGACACCGTATAGAGGAGAGAGTTCGTCTGATACGAAAATTTCCTCTTTTTTTGTTTTTACATTAATCCTAGTAATTTCTGTGTATTGTTTAGTTTTGTTAAGGAAATTTATAATACATGCATATGGCGCCAGTGCGAAGCCGGGGCGGGTCGCTAGTAAATAATAAAATATTGAGAATTTTCTCACCTGTCTTCCATGCTCTTAGCCTCAGCCAAAGCAGACCTGAGTTCCTCATCAGAAGAGGTCTCATTCGCTTTCTTAACAAACTTCTTACTGGTGTACAGATCAAAATGAGAGCGGAATAACGCCTGAGACTGTCTGTAAGTCTCAAAAGGACCGAAGGTAAAGAATTTTCTTGCATTCTCCTGGAAAAGATATTGATATAAATATTTTAAATTACAGTGCTACTCATACTCTTTATAAAACAGACATTAGAATGAAGAAAACGAAAATACAAAGTAAGAGAGATTAATGAGACAAAATATGTTCTAGAAAAATTTGGTAGGTGTTATGTTAATTACAAGTAGGTAAATTATTTTTTATAATAACTATCGTGAGACATACTAAATTTATTAAAATCGCGGGTTACTCACCTGCATATACTGAGAACTCAGTGAGCTGCGCGACGTCGCCGCGACCGCGCACGCTGCTCATGAGGAAGATCCCCTCTGTGGTTCGAAACTAGTAGAGCTTTTCTCAGTATATACACGTGAGTAACCCACGATTTTAGTAAATTTAGGTAAATTATATTTAATATTGGAATGAAGAAGAATTTCAAGTAATATCACACACTATGCAATATTTAAACAAGTGGTATCCATCAACAACAATAACTGCATGCTTTCAATCACTGTTCATGTGTCATCAAAGATTTTATTATAAACTAGCTTTTACCCGCGGCTTCGCTCGCGTCACAAAAGAGTAAAAAGTAGCCTATGTGACATATACCAATACACACAGCGCCATCTATACCAATATTTTTGTTTTTCCTCGGGAATATCAATTTTTCCGGGTTAAAAAGTACCCTATTATTTAATCCGGACTTCTAACTTTATGTCTGCAAAAATTCAAAGCAATCGGTTGAGTAGTTACGGTGTGAAGGTGGAACAAACAAACAAACTCACATTCAGATTTCTAATATTAGTAAGGATTATCGCAAAATACCATTAATTAAACACTACCTTATCACAATGACAACTGCTATACACATCCAGGGTGTCCGCAATCACATCTATCACACCACTGGTGATAGACTCCACCTCCTGAGCGAGGGACAGGCACTCCTCGGCTGCAGCACTCTCGTCATCCTTCCATTGGTGGTACGAGGAGTTTAACTTTGATACTTCTAACGTTATTTCTTCTTTCGTTAGCCTGTAAAAGGTACAATCTTGTATTATTATATAAACACACCAATCTAAGGAATTACTGGACCGATTTGAATAATTCATTTTATTCATTTATCTAGGCAGGCTGTAAGGCTATGATCAATAGGGGCTGAGCAGAGTGAGTAAACGGTACGGAAGTAGCTAGTTCCAATGTCGCGGAGAACCTAACGGGTTGCCGGGGCTCCGGCTCGACGTGCAGGAGAAGGAACGGGGTGGTTTTTAGTCAGTACTAGTCTGACACTCCCTTCCGCCTCACCCAGGCAGGAGCAGTATAGATATAGATTTGATTTGTATGAAATAATTAGATTTGTATGATAAAAGACAGGGAAAATAAAAAATAGCTACTGTGTGGATTTTTTTTTTTGAGCAGGTAAAATCATCCTATGGCTTCTCCCGGCCGGGTCAGGGCGAGAGGGAGTGTCAGACTCTTACTGACTAAAAACCACCCCATTCCTACTCCTACACTTTGAGCCACAGCCCCATCAACCTATTAAGTCTTCCGTGGCTCCGTACTGTGTGAAGTTAGAGTGACATTTTAAGATAAATACTTAATCTCTTGATTTTACAATTTATTTAGATTCAATATCAAGTAAGTCAATGCTAAGTTCATTTGATTTTAAACACTACCAATGTGTCATAAAGTATAAACTATGATGACAGATAAAATAGTAATATTTCGTTTAGGTACACTATTTTTGTAACAATATTGCAAGTAATAGAGATTTATCAACTTACCTGTTCTGTCTCTTCAAGTCATTGAGTATAGATTCCTGTTTCTGCAACATATGCAGCCTCTCTTGCAACATTTTGATGTCTAATTCCACATCTTCTTTTCCATCCTTATCTCCCGGTAAGCAAATACCTTCATACTGCTCTTGAATGGCGGATATAGAAGATTCTAGATCCTCTGTAGAAAGGAGAAGACCTTTCTTTTCTAGTTCTATGTATCTGTAATAAATAGGAGTAAAATAAGAATGTATACTGGTCAGTGAATATTTGTAGAAGTAGAAACCTGTTAATTTGATTGTTGAAGTTATTGATTATAATCATAAAGGAGGAATTTTATTACTATGAATTTGTTTGTTCTTATATCATACGAGATACGAGTGAAGTAATAACCTACTTAGCGTTAGGTATTAGTTGATTTATGTTCAAATAGTGCATAAAATTCTGGCAAAACACGAGTTCCAACTATGTGATCATTTCCCATAACCGTTTATTGTAAATCACTTCTAAAATGTGTTTTAGCTAAAAATTGCGCTTACCGACATTCCTCCCGGGCACTCAAAGCATTATTATGATCCAAATTATTATGAAGCCAACGTAAAACTCCCGCAAAATCCCGATCGTTCAACATCCATTCAAACGACTTTTTATAAGTATCAACGCCTAAACTATGCAAGAATGGCACGAACTCTTCATCACTCATTTCATTTAAAGCATTCATTTTTATATTTCATTAATATTTTACGCATATAATGGAATATAACATTCATAGGCCGTTAATGTTTTCGAAAAATCAAAACAATCTAATTTGACGTTTTGAATTGTAGGGTTGCCAGTGCTTTCATACCTTTTACTACCAAAAATTATTAAAATCTTACTTATGATTATGACACATGCCTTTAAAAAACTGAATTTATTAAATCAGTAGTTGATGGAATGAAAGTATACTAATTACCTTAAAAGTATTATGTTAAATCAAAAAGTATTAATAAAAAATAATATTAACTATTAGATATTAATATAATTTTTCTACAATATTCGCATATATTTTACTTTTGGCAGCACAGAAACAAAGCGTTTACAAAGATAGCTTCAAACTATGGTTTGTAACGATTTTAAAAAATAACGTGTACAAAACAAAAATGAAACAAGATGAAAATGCTATATTATCTTGTTTAATTAGGTCTGTATAATTGATTAGAAAACAGTTGGCTGTTGATATTATGTTTGGAAGAGCCAATGCATTGGCATGAATGGGTCAGCTCGACCAGAATCATACCACAACTTCATTTATATCTGGCGTGAAACAATCCTTGCGTTGTGCCAACGCCAGGTCAGAGGAGTAATCGAAACCTCCTGTCTTTTCAAAGCTATTCTTGCAACTCTTAAATGATTCTCCGGGTATCGATGGACGGCGTTGATTAATTTTAAAATCAGTCATTCTGCCTACTCTTTTGCTCTTATCACGACACAGCACACACAATTTCAACTACTTCTAACAAATACGTAGACACCACCTACATAATAATATTTGTTTTCCCAAACAACAACCCGAAAACCTAATCCCCCGTTTCCCAACCAATAATACAATAATTCCATTACTTCCCTGTTACACGTGCCAGACAAACAAACAGACATACCCAGACACCTATATGTAACCCCCTCGATAAAACCAGAACATCCTGAGTCCCGCGTCCTTTTGCTCTTGACCTTGAACTTGTACCAGCGTTCAAGAGCGAGGATATGCCAAAACCGAGGGTCCAGATTGGCTAACTACACACCAAATTGTCACATCCTTCGTTCTTTGTGTCAGAATTATAAAATGATATATGGAATGACGCAGTTATTTCGCCAGTTTCTTTGTTATGGTTCACTTTTGTTGACTTGTTGTGGACTGTGATTTGTTCTTTATGGACCTTTAAGGGGCCTGTCCAAACAATCAGCGTCAGTTAAGTGGTTTATGGCGTGTAAAGAATGATTAAAACTAAGGGGAATGTTTAAAAATTGACGCTACTGTTTATAACCTAAATGACATGGTTTCAAATATATGAATTTCTGTAAGATATAATTCTATTTTGATATTGTTGCACTGCTTGGTAGAACAACATTTCACTTGGCTTAGCATCAATCAAGGGATGCCATGTAAGTAGGTAATAAAAGTAGGTAATGACAACAAATTATGTAAAAGCAATACATAACATAACATCGCGCCTTTTATCCCCGAAGAGGTAGGCAGAGGTGTACATTATGCCACTGTACAATGTAACACCCACTTTTCACTATTTATGTTATGAGTCCCATGTAATAGGGGGTGAGCCTATTGCCATATACCGGGCACAATTCTAGACTCCGTGCTACTACTGAGAATTTTTTTAAAACCCAGTAATACTTTGCCCGACCCGAGAATCGAACCCGAGGCCTCTTGCCCGGCAGTCACACTTGAGACCACTCGGCCAATGAGGCAACCATACCTATTTAGAAAAAGCAATACCTATTTAGAAATTTCAAAGTAAATTCACGAATGACATAAGTTTAGCAACTAATGGGTTGCAGTTTGCATAACAGTGTAGGCAGTAGGTAGTAGGCGTACGGCCTGCGCGCCTTCGTCCACAGAAAGTCCTTGTATTGTATTTCATTATGCGAAGTGGTCGTCACTGCTCGTGCCACGTCGAGACCACTTCAAGTCTTCGATGCAGACTCGCTTCCGTGCTCACAATACGAACAACTTTCTAGTGTGTGTCCAATGTCGATACGACAAAAAGTTTAATTTTAAACTGTTTTACAAGAACTCTCGGATCTCATCTAATTCTGTTTTTATAATAACTATCGTGAGACATACTAAATTAAGTAAAAACGCGAGTTACTCACATGAATATACTGAGAAAAGCTCTACTAGTTTCGAACCGCAGAGGGGCTTTTCCTCATGAGTTATTCCTCGCGACGTCGCCGCGACCGCGCACGCTGCTCATGAGGAAGAACCCCTCTGTGGTTCGAAACTAGTAGAGCTTTTCTCAGTATATTCATGTGAGTCATCTAATTCTTGCGAAATGAGTAGGTTATACGACGTGTTTCTCAGTAGTTTCTAACTGCCTTGTTTGTATTGTTAAGTTTGTGGAGGTTTTATAACTCTCAGATTCAATTATTGAGTAAAAATACCTCCAAGGCACTATGTAATAACGTCTTTGGTGTTGCAGAAGACTTATCATCAGATGTCTACAATTTTCTTTCAAAGTCAAAGTCAAAGTCAAAATCATTTATTTCAATTACACAGTCACAACAAAATATTTAAATATTAGATAATAAGAAAAAAAAATGACAGTCTGTAAGTCAGTCCTCTTAGTGAAGCTATTTGTTCGTTCCAAGGTGTAGATTCCTATGGAGAAGACCGAGCAAGAAACTCCATCGGTTACTCTTTTTCAATCATATATTTACCTCTATAGTATTTTAAGTTAAAATTGTAGTAGATATTATAGTATTATTGTATTTTAATATGGACCTTCGTTGCCTGATATAAATAAATGAATAAATAAAAAAAATATTAAAATATACAATTATTGGTTACAATTGGTTGTTAATTTTGCTTTTGGCATTAATTCTTCGTGACTCTTTGTCTCCGTAAATACGTCACGTGATGATCTGATGCTTGGTTCATTTCATAAAGAATAGCCGTTAGGGTGGTGCGTCTACATTTGGCGAATGTGCCGCATGCGCATCTCGCGAGCCGTTTGCGAGCTACGCGCGTGCAGTCCCGGCAAAGGCCTGATGCGCCTCTTTATTGAAACTTAATAATAAGTAGTATAGGTACTGCTCGCGAACTGATTCGCCAGATGTGGAGGCACCTTTATAAGAACTTAAAATAAAGTTATTAGGTACTGTATCTTACTTACCGTAAGACAATGGACACCCTCTCTCATTGCCTACATAGGAAATAGGCGACATGAAGCACTCTCAACATCAGCGTTGTCCTCACAAAGAAAAAACAATGCAGTCAGCTTGTTCAGCCATACAACCGATACTTGCAATCATCCTCTTAAAACACAACCCTATTTCATAACTTACAAGGTATAAAATCCCTTGGGTTCTGTTATTGAATGAATGTCAAAAGTCCTTATCGGTACTGAGGGCCACTAGACTTGCTCGTGCGTTATGAACGCCTAGTACTTTTCTATTTGAATTGCACTGAGTTTGCAACCCCATAATATTGTGGATTTAACTATCTATTTTCTTGGTTTTTCTGTTATTTTGTCGAGATGAACACTGCGTTGGATTCTTCAGTTTTTTTTTTATGGAATAGGAGGCAAATGAGCAGACAGATCACCTGATGGTAAGCGATCAAATAGACACCCGAAACATCAGAGGAGTCGCAGGTGCGTTGCCGGCCTTTTAAAAAGGAATACGCTCTTTTCTTGAAGGTTTGAAGGTCGTATCGGTTCGGAAATACTGTCGACAACAGATCATTCCACAGTTTTGCTGTTTTCTTCAGTTAGATCAATATTATTGTACCGATTGAGTCACCATACCTATCGAGAAAGAGTGTCCAGTCGCTAGTTAGAATAATCGATCTGTTATTTCTACTTTAGTCCAATGAAATTAAATTTAGATTCCGAGAATTGAATAATTCATTATTTTAGAAGACGCAATTTTATTTTTGGAACATATTGTGTGGGGCCTCAATAGAAGTTTAACCTCAAGTTTGTGGGGTCGCCACCGTTGTCCCCCGCCATCTAGGTAAACGGGGCGATATCTCGGAAAATATGCGTCTAAAAAATTGTAAAGTCATATTATATGAATACAAATCCAAATTAAAATTAAATGCAGTCAATAAATGGCTCTAGAATTGTGTAGACTGCCTCGTTGGCCGAGTATTCGCAAGTGCAACTGCAAGGGGTCTCGGGTTCGATTTCCGGGTTGGGCAAAGCATTACTGGGTTTTTAAAAAAAATCTCAGTAGTAGCACGGAGTCTGGAATTGTGCCCGGTATATGGCAATAGGCTCACCCCCTATTACATGGGACTCATAACATAAATAGTGAAAAGTGGGTGTTAATCGTACAGTGGCATAATGTGCATCTCTGCCTACATGATAAAAGGCGTGATATATACATATGTATGTATTTGTGTCTGATGTATGTTATGGTGGGGGCCTTTACCAGATGCCCTGCCGACTCTAAGATATAAATGTTGTGTTTCCTTCACTAACCTTCGAAAAGCAACTCTTTCAACAATCTCTTAACAATACATCACCCTATACATACTATTACATTAAGGGTTGTATACAGGGCGTGTCTAATTAAGGGGAGGCTATAAAAAGAATCTATTTGTGTCTAGTGTCTGCTTGTCGGTTTGTTTGTTTGTCTAGGACGAGGATCGAGTCTGTTCTTTTAAATATAGGCGGATAAAGAATGGCGTGGAGATAAGTTGAGATTTCATTTATTTATCGCGAATTTTTGGTTTACCTAAGTAAAGCTTTATTCATTGATTTTTTTATTTCGGTAAACGATCAGACGTAAATCAATGAACCATCTATCCTGACATCCATTTAATTTTGAGTAATTATCTCAATAGACTAAATAAAACATGAAAACTGGTGTGCTATTAACATTTACCTTTGAATTTCCAATTTTAGGTATTCAATGATATCATAATTATAATACTTTAAAACAACATTTAAATATTTATATTATAACTTATGTGAGACATACCTACTAAATTAATTATTATGTTTAATATTATTAATTATAACGTCAAATATGAATTATTTGACGAGGAACTCGACTCCAAAATAATTACGTGAGT